ATAGGAGTTTTATAGTATTAGGCAGTGAGATCCCATGAGCCCTTTTATTGCAGTTGCATTGTTCCTCTGCACTGGGGAATTTAGCTGTAAGAGAGTGACACCTAATGGCTCATAGAAGAATTCAATGGATGATCCAATCTACTGGTCTCCTCCAATGCATTTATATAAAAATATAAAATAGCCGTTTTCAGGTACACTTTAGCAGTGCCTAAGCCCTTTTTTTTTTCACATGGCTATTGGCCTCTGCTGATCTACTGTGTCATGTGTTAATGCTGTGTATTTATTGCTGAACTTCTATTTTTGAATGCTTGAGAGGTATTCTGTTATTATGCTGCCATCATATGGATATTTTCAGAATTACAGCTTACCAAGAAATGTATTTAAAGTTGATAGAATCACTGAATTTAACCGCTATACAGTAGATCACGGGTGTCAAACTGGCGGCCCTCCAGCTGTTGCCAAACTACAAGTCCCATGAGGCCTTGCAAGATTGACAGTTACAAGCATGACTCTGAAAAGAAGAGGCATGATGGGACTTTGCAACAGCTGGAGGGCCGCCAGTTTGATGTCCCTGCAGTAGATCATACCCCCCACTTTTGATCTGGTAACTTATTTGGCCATTTTACTTTTTTTTTTAAAAGTTTGAAAGCAATAGGTAATTTTATAAATTACATAGAAAGGTAACCATCAGTATGCACATCCAATTTTTTTTTTTATTATTATATATTATTATTATTATCTGTATAGCTCCATAAATTTACGCAGCACTCCACTTGAGCTCCGGAAGGTTTTACCCCTTCATGGCCAGGTCATTTTTTGCTACTGCACTACTTGCGAAGTCTTGCAATGCTGTATGCAAATGCAATTTATATAATTTTTTTTTCACACAAATAGAGCTTTCTTTTGGTGGTATTTGATCACCTTTTTTTTTTATATATATCAACAAAAAAAGACCAAAAATTTTTGGGAAAAACCCCAATATTTTTTACTGCTGTAAAACATATCCATTAAAATTTTTTTATATACTTATTGGGATTTTTTATTTTAATTTTTTTGACAAAGATGTAACAGAATACATTTGCCCTATATTTATGAATTAATTTGATTTTTAATTTTTTTTTTAATGGATGTGTTTTATAGCAGAAAATTAAAAAATATTGGGTTTTTTTTCCAAAATATATGGTCTTTTTTTGTTGATTATATATATATATATATAAATATATATTATATACATATATATATATATATATATATATATATATATATACATATATATATATATATATATACAAAAAAAGACCATATATTTTGGAAAAAAACCCCAATATTTACAAAAAAAGACCATATATTTTGGGAAAAAAAACCCAATATTTTTTACTTTCTGCTATAAAACACATCAATTAAAAAAAAAATTAAAAATCAAATTTCTTCATAAATTTAGGGCAAATGTATTCTGTTACATGTCTTTGTCAAAAAAAATTTAAATAAAAAATCCCAATAAGTTTATATTGATTGGATTGTGTGAAAGTTCTAGCATCTACAAACGATGATTATATATATATGTATATATATATATATATATAAATATATATATATATATATATATATATATACACAGTGGGATCGAAAGTTTGGGCACCCCCAGCTAAAAATTTGTATTAATGTGCATAAAGAAGCCAAGGAAAGATGGAAAAATCTCCAAAAGGCATCAAATTACAGATTAGACATTCTTATAATATGTCAACAAAAGTTAGATTTTATTTCCATCATTTACACTTCAAAAATAACAGAAAACAAAAAAAATGGCGTCTGCAAAAGTTTGGGCACCGTGCAGAGTTAATATACTTGTACTGCCCCCTTTGGCAAGTATCACAGCTTGTAAACGCTTTTTGTAGCCAGCCAAGAGTCTTTCAATTCTTGTTTGAGGTATCTTTGCCCATTCTTCCTTACAAAAGTCTTCCAGTTGTTTGAGATTTCTGGGCTGTCTGTCACGCACTGCTCTTTTACGGTCTATCCATAGATTTTCAATTATGTTGAGGTCAGGAGATTGTGAAGGCCATGGCAAAACCTTCAGTTTACGCCTCTTGATGTAATCCCCCGTGGATTTCGAGGTGTGTTTAGGATCATTATCCATTTGTAGAAGCCATCCTCTCTTTAACTTCAGCTTTTTCACAGATGGCATCAAGTTACCATCCAAAATTTGCTGAAATTTTATTGAATCCATTTTTCCTTCTACTCGTGAGATGTTCCCTGTGCCACTGGCTGCAACACAACCCCAAAGCATGATTGATCCAAACCCCATGCTTAACAGTTGGACAGAGGTTCTTTTCATTAAATTCTGTGCCCTTTCTTCTCCAAACGTACCTTTGCTCATTCCGGCCAAAAAGTTCAATTTTAACCTCATCGGTCCACAGAACTTGTTTCCAAAATGCATCAGGCTTGTCTATATGTTCATTTGCAAAGTTCAAATGATGATTTTTGTGGTGAGGACGTAGAAGAGGTTTTCTTCTGATGACTCTTCCATGAAGACCATATTTGTACAAGTATCTCTTTATAGCGGAATAGTGTACCACAACTCCAGTGTCTGCCAGATCTTTCTGGAGGGATCGTGCAGTCAAACGTGGGTTTTGAATTGTTTTTCTCACAATCCTGCGAGCTGTTCTGTCTGATATTTTTCTTGGTCTTCCAGATCTTGCTTTAACTTCCACTGTTCCTGATGACTGCCATTTCTTAATTACATTCCGAACAGAGGATATTGACATCTGAAAACGCTTTGCTATCTTCTTATAGCCTTCTCCAGCTTTGTGAGCATCAACTATTTTCAGTTTCAGTTTTCTAGACAACTGCTTAGAAGAACCCATGGTGCTGATTGTTGGGGCAAGGTCAGATGAGTCTGGGCATTTAAGACCTTCGAGACTGACATCACCTGGTCTTCCCAGACGATGATTGAGAACAATCCATGACACTGGCAGGTCTCAGCTTTGCAAAGGGGGCAGTGCATGCTATAAATTCTGCAGGGTGCCCAAACTTTTGCAGACGTCATTTTTTTGTTTTCTGTTATTTTGAAAGTGTAAATGATGGAAATAAAATTTAACTTTTGTTGACATATTATAAGAATGTCTAATCTGTAATTTGATGCCTTTTGGAGATTTTTCCATCTTTCCTTGGCTTCTTTATGCACATTAATACAAATTTTTAGCTGGGGTGCCCAAACTTTCGATCCCCACTGTATATATATACTGGATTTTTAAAATGTATTTATTTGTTTATTTTTATACTAGTAGATGGCGGTGATCAGCAACTTATAGTGGTACTGTGATAGATATCTGACACTAAATAGCACTGGGTGGGAAATCACTATGGGACACTGACATCTCCAGTGACATGAAATTGGGCAAATCGCTGTCTCTCCGCAATGTTGTAGAAATGCCAACCTTTGAGCTGGATCTTCATCTTCAAGAATAGGGCATTTTCAGGGGTTGAGCTCATTGAAGGTCTTCCTGATCTCCTCATCTTCCAGTGATGTTCCTCCGCTCTTGAAGCACGCGTGACGTTTAAAACACCTCAAAAAACTCATTGCAGCATTGCTTTAAACTTGCCGAATTATGTCAAACATCTCTATGGCTGGTTTGCCCAGTGTCACGCAGAATTTTATGTTTGCTCTTTATTCTAACTTGCTGTTCATGATGAAATAGCAGATGTGGTAACATACGTGGACAGAAAAACACCAGTTCCACCCCTCCACAGGTACACAGGATGATGTCTTTTGGCACACTGATTTATGAAGGTCGGTGCTCCCTGTGACTCTGCATTCAGCCTTGTGTTGCCATCTGTTGGTGTGCTACAAAACTAACTTTTTGATACCACCTTATATACTGTGTGTGTATATAAATAAATATATATATATATATATATATATATATATATATATAATAGGACATATAAGAGGAGGTATATCTGGGGATTTGACTTATTTTATTAGAATTTGAATATATCAAAGTTTCATTTCCCTTAATCTTTAGAGTTTAAACTTTTTTTTTACTGTACCACTGATATACCAGTGTTTCTACCAGGTCCTCAAGTACACTCAATAGGTCATGTTTTTACAATTATTCCTCATGAGAACATCTGCAGATATTCCTGAGATAGGAACACAAATCTAAGGAAATCTACTGGGACAGAAATAACCGAGCTGCCACTGCCAAGTTTTGGAGGGTGTATGTTCCAGAGCTGTCATCCTTATTTTACTACTTAGTGAATTACTAGGCATGAGCATAGGAAGACTTGTTCACACTACCCCACATTGTAAGTGCATTGCCCCAATGCATTCCCGGAACGCACATCCATTTCAACACACTGTAGTACACCACTATGTGCGATGTGTATTCTGGTGTGCTGCAAAAAAAGATTAAGTATTGCTGAAATGTTTCTGTTTTGTATTTTTTTTTTAATGGACTATTTAACGCATCTTGTTGAAACTTCATTAGTCAATGATTTTAGTTCTTAGTTTTCCTATGGAAGTCTTATCATGCAATAGTAAATATAAAGTACAGTGCATCCCTTTAGTAATTGTTGGAAACTGCACCAAAGAGGTAGAAAGCTGTGTTTTTTTAAAATATATTATTTATTTATTTATTTATGTATTAATTAAATAATAATAATATTTATGTAGTATTTATTAATTATATTTTATATAATTAGAAAGCTGTGTTTTTTTAATATATTATTTATAATTTTTATTCATTAAATAATAATAATATTTATGTACTTATTTTTTAATTTTATATATATATATATATATATATATATACACACACACATATATAAAATAAATATACTATGTTAAAAACAGAGGAGTGAATACACATTGAGAATATAAAGATCATAGGAATCCTTACATCTTTTTATCTCCGTATAGCCAGTTAGCCCCACTTTTTATGATTTGTGACTGATTTTTACTTGGAAATGCCTTAAAATATTTTCTTCTTCCACTCTCCTAGTCACCCAACAAACCTACAATACCCCAAGACAAAATCAGACCCCTGACCAGCTTGGACCACCCGCAGAGCCCGTTCTATGATCCAGAAGGAGGTCCCATTGTCCCAGTTGCCAGAGTCATTATTGAAAGGATTGCTAGAAAAGTAAGTTGTTTATTATTGTGGTTGCATGTAAACTCTTATTTTTTAGAATTAAATTTTTCCTGACCATAAGAAAGAAAACTTGTACAACAATTGTAATTTTAAATTTGTACAAAACAAAAAAAAATGTAATACATTTAAAGTGGTTGTAAACCTCAGACATGAAATATGAACTAAGCATATCCCTCTATAGTGTGTACTTGTCTCAATTAAGAGCACTAAGTGCCATTTCTCGTTCCTCTGTTATCAGCATGAGTCACTTCTGACAAATTTTCCTGAGACCAAGAGAAAAATGGTGACAGGGGAGGGTCCTCCAACAGAGTGACAGCCTCAGCTCTGTTTCTGTGAGCTGTATGGAGGGTGGAGGTGTCTCTTCCCTTCAATCAGCTCTCAGAACTGTCCTCACTGAGCTCTGCAGGCTGTAACTTCAGCTCCCCGTCCCCTTTTTCTGAACTCTCAGACAAGCTTTAAAATTCAGAATTTTGAACTGCTGTAGAGATTAGAAGAATGCAGATAAACAGGTACAACTTATATAAGAGGATTTGTTTCATCCCTGAGGCCAGTCACTTCACTGGGTAAATAAATAAATTTTTGTAAACAGGTAAACACATATTTTGCATATTCATATTTCTTATTATTATTCTGATCCAATAGGTTGGACTTTATATATCTGTTAAGCTTTTTTTTTATCTCAGTGCCCCTGTAGTATGTTATATTAACTCCCAAATAATAATAACTCCCCTGTTTTTGAAGAAGCTAAATGACATAAAAGTTGAAAGTAAGAGCTTAAATTAACATGCCTTATCTGTTAATATATACGTAAGAGTGTTAACAGGTTTTTATTATTGAAAGTTATCATTAATTATTTGGAGGATCAATTCTTTAAAACGCCAAATTCCAAGTTATAAATGCACTCGTTTGTTTAACCCCTTCCCGCCGGCGCCTCCCGGCCCTTTAAGAATTTCAGACACTAGGAGGTGGGGCAAGTGGGGCGTGGTTTAGGAATCATGTGACCGCCGTGACGCGTCATCACGGCGGTCACATGATCGGGAAAGGTCCCGATCGAAAGAGTGGACCGGGACCTTTCCGTGAGTACCACACATGTGTGCTGGGAGCACGCAGGGGGCGCGCGCTCTCAGCACATATGTTTTTTGCTACATGAACGCAAATGTGCGGCCACTCGGCGTCTAGGCCCAGACGCTGGGAGGCCGCACATTTGTGTGTGGCCGGCGCAAAGGGGTTAATAATAAAAACATTTAATTAAAAAATTGAATTTTTTTTAGATAACTTACGCCTTTTTCTGTTTGGGCGTTATTATTACATATATAAAAATGACTGGGGAGTTATTATTATTTGGGAGTTAATATAACATACTGCACCCCTTTTACAGAATTCAATAACTTAAGTTAAAATATACATGCACACATGAATGTGTCCGAGCTGTGATTCCTACCCTATTGAACATATGTAGTAATGCAGTAATGTAATGCAGAGCTAACCCATACTGCTTTGGGAATCCTTTCTCATGTTTTTATTTATATGTATATATATGTATATACAGTGTTTTCTGGCGTATAAGACTACTTTTTATACTTAAAAATATACCCCAAAAATTGGGGGTCGTCTTATACGCGGGGTATAAAATGTGAACCTTGAGTTTGTTTGGGTCAAGCTGGCTGGATGTGTGGTAATACTGTACATACAGTATACCGTGCTGAGCCAAGCTGGCTGGATGTGTGGTAATACTGTACATACAGTATACCGTGCTGAGCCAAGCTGGCTCAAAACAAATGTCCCTATGACAGATTAATCTGTCAGCCCGCTGGATGTGCGGTATATACAGTATACTGCGCTGAGCCAAGCGGTTTCAAAACGTACCGGTACGTCCCTACTGTAATCAGCCAGCTGGATGCGTGTATGTACGGTAGCTGCGGCTACATACAGTATACACTGGGCCAATCACGGCGAGTGATGTATTCTACTAATGAATATAAAGCCTGCTTGGATTGGCTGAGTCAGAGAAGAGGGCTGATGATGTCACAACCTCAGCCAATCCGAGCAGGCTTTGTATTCATTAGTAGAATACATCGCTCGCCGTGATTGGCCCAGTGTATACTGTATGTAGCCTCAGCTACTGTACATATACACATCCTATGGTCTGATTACCGTAGGGACGTACCGGTACGTTTTGAAACCGCTTGGCTCAGTATACTGTATATAACACACATCCAGCGAGCTGACAGATTAATCTGTCATAGGGACATTTGTTTTGAGCCAGCTTGGCTCAGCGCGGTATACTGTATGTACATTACTGCACATCCTATGGGCTGTATATATACTGTATACTGTATGTAGCCGAAGCTACCGTATTACCGCACATCCAGCGGGGTAGTCTTATACGGCAAGTATAGCCCAAAACCTATGTTTTAACTGGAAAATTAGGGGGTCGTCATATACACCCAGTCGCCTTATACGCCGGAAAATACGGTATATATAATTTAAATAAGAATATAATAACAATAAAATTAGCTAAAACCGTTTTTGTATTCGCCACAATCTAAAGTAATCTATCTCTATGCCAGGTGAATACTTAGCATCCTGCCTTTCTGCTTAAATCTTAGCTAAGGTATATAACTTCTGTCATTCTAGATTTTCTGGCCTGTGCCTTGTCTTCTGACTATTAGGCAGATGAACTTTTTTTTATGTTGTGCAGGGTCAAGTAGCCTCCCTGATTAAGAACTTCTTAAAAAATGTCCGGCACAATATATATTTTTTAATAAGGTAGCAGTCTCAGGTTAACTTGCACTGAGAGAGTAAGGAATAGTACATTACAATCACAGTGCATCAATACCAAATACGGAATATAATAGATATGGCCATCATGTATAGATATAGTTGAAGTGAAACTCCATTTGAAAAAAAAAAAAAATCGCATGGGGCACTGCTCAGGTGAAGGAGCAGGCTGCCATAATAATGCAACCCCAGAGGGTGTGTTGCTGGCATCCTGCTCCTTCACCTGAGCAGTGCCCCATGCGATTTTTTTTTTTTTTTCAAATGGAGTTTCACTTCAACTATATCTATACATGATGGCCATATCTTTTATATTCCGTATTTTTTATGAATTCAGAGAGAGTGGACCGACATCTACTGGAGGAAAATAATTACTGCAGGGGGACATCTCCAGAATGAAGGTTAGTATTGCAGTAGCAGCAGCTTTTTTTTTTTTTTTTTTTCTTTTAATGGTCTATTTTTCTTTTTCTTTTTTAAAAATAAAGCTCTGCTTGAAGGGCTCTTTCACACAGGCGCAGAGGTTCATATAATATTCATATAATATGCATATTATTGCACCCAGGAATCAAAGGTGTTTGTGTACAGCCACTGGCAGCAACCTGTGCAAGTCAATGGCAGGCTGTGGTAACCGCACATTCAAACGTACGCACTTGCAAAAATGCGTTTCTTTTGAACAGGGTATGGCCCTCCGCGCCCTTTTCAATGAGCCCCAAACTTTTCATATTAAAAAAGGTTTTTTTAAGACATTCACAGATAACTTACATCAAGCTGATCCCCACCACATATACTATATATAGATATTTAAATAAAATATGAAATAAAGATGACTTATCCTTTAAGCGTATGCTTTAAGAGAGTTCTGAGTGCCAATTAATATTCCTCTCTGTGTTGTGTGGGTAATTAGTAAAGATAATTGGTAAAGATATGTTAAATGTCTCTGTGCTCATTGGCTGTAAATCAAACAGCCTGAACCCACAATGCTACCGCCATGCACGATATACAATACCTCTGTTTGATTAATGCATGCAGAACAATGCTCAACCTTATCACAGCCAAGCATCCAGCTTTCATTAGTAACCGTGCGATTGTTAATTGGGCCGGCGGCTCACCTTTTTCAGATCATTAATTAGAAGTTTTGTCTTACAGGGAGAGCAGTGCAATATTGTCCCGGACAACGTAGATGACATTGTGGCTGATCTGGTCGCAGAAGAAAAGGAAGAAGGTAAAAAATAATTGGGATGGTGAATGTCCAGTTGGAATCAGAGTTTATTTTCTCCTAATTAGGCTGCCTGTTCTATTGTTGAAATATAAAAGGGGCTTGCGGTGGGGGGTGGTAAAAACATGCCATTGAGTTACGTTTTTTTTCCCCACCCCCCCATCTGCTCCTCCTTAAGCTGTAAAGGCAGCACACAAGGGCAGTACACATGCCTCTGCTGCAATGCTTTGCTTCGTGACCCCATAATAATTAAGCCTCCTGTCCTGTTCGATGTGTAGGTACAGTGGGGATCGAAAGTTTGGGCACCTCAGCTAAAAATTGTGTATTAATGTGCATAAAAAAGCCAAGGAAAGATGGAAAAATCTCCAAAAGGCATCAAATTACAGATTAGACATTCTTATAATATGTCAACAAAAAGTTAGATTTTATTTCCATCATTTACACTTTCAAAATAACAGAAAACAAAAAAATGGTGTCTGCAAAAGTTTGGGCACCCTGCAGAATTTATAGCATGCACTGCCCCCTTTGCCAAGCTGAGACCTGCCAGTGTCATGGATTGTTCTCAATCATCGTCTGGGAAGACCAGGTGATGTCAATCTCAAAGGTTTTAAATACCCAGACTCATCTGACCTTGCCCCAACAATCAGCACCATGGGTTCTTCTAAGCAGTTGTCTAGAAAACTGAAACTGAAAATAGTTGACGCTCACAAAGCTGGAGAAGGCTATAAGAAGATAGCAAAGCGTTTTCAGATGTCAATATCCTCTGTTCGGAATGTAATTAAGAAATGGCAGTCATCAGGAACAGTGGAAGTTAAAGCAAGATCTGGAAGACCAAGAAAAATATCAGACAGAACAGCTCGCAGGATTGTGAGAAAAACAATTCAAAACCCACGTTTGACTGCACGATCCCTCCAGAAAGATCTGGCAGACACTGGAGTTGTGGTACACTATTCCACTATAAAGAGATACTTGTACAAATATGGTCTTCATGGAAGAGTCATCAGAAGAAAACCTCTTCTACGTCCTCACCACAAAAATCATCATTTGAACTTTGCAAATGAACATATAGACAAGCCTGATGCATTTTGGAAACAAGTTCTGTGGACCGATGAGGTTAAAATTGAACTTTTTGGCCAGAATGAGCAAAGGTACATTTGGAGAAGAAGGGGCACAGAATTTAATGAAAAAAACCTCTGTCCAACTGTTAAGCATGGGGTTGGATCAATCATGCTTTGGGGTTGTGTTGTAGCCAGTGGCACAGGGAACATCTCACGAGTAGAAGGAAAAATGGATTCAATACAATTTCAGCAAATTTTGGATGGTAACTTGATGCCATCTGTGAAAAAGCTGAAGTTAAAGAGAGGATGGCTTCTACAAATGGATAATGATCCTAAACACACCTCGAAATCCATGAGGGATTACATCAAGAGGCGTAAACTGAAGGTTTTGCCATGGCCTTCACAATCTCCTGACCTCAACAAAATTGAAAATCTATGGCTAGACCTTAAAAGAGCAGTGCGTGACAGACAGCCCAGAAATCTCAAAGAACTGCAAGACTTTTGTAAGGAAGAATGGGCAAAGATACCTCAAACAAGAATTGAAAGACTCTTGGCTGGCTACAAAAAGCGTTTACAAGCTGTGATACTTGCCAAAGGGGGCAGTGCAAGATATTAACTCTGCAGGGTGCCCAAACGTTTGCAGACGCCATTTTTTTGTTTTCTGTTATTTTGAAAGTGTAAATGATGGAAATAAAATCTAACTTTTGTTGACATATTATAAGAATGTCTAATCTGTAATTTGATGCCTTTTGGAGATTTTTTTCCAAAATTTGATATAGTGCTGAATAAAAATATATATAAATAATAATAAATAATTAATAAAAAAAAATATTAAACATATAAAGTCCCACTCCAAAATTCGTGAAAAAAATATATAAGTGAAAAATTTAAGAAAACTCCTTGGATATTCAAAAAGTCCTTTTTCCAAAGAAGTGTGCTTCCACCACAAATTAGTGCTCAAACCATTAAATACCGCACTCACCAGATTATGGTGACAAAAGTGCTTTTAGGTATTTACGGGATCCTAGACCCTTATAATATGCCTCCAGATCTCCACTCCACCACAGGAAAGCTTTCCTCCAATTTCCAAGACCACCAGATTCCACTTCCCAGAGATACTCAGAAGTGATGGAGGACGGCGGAACCGGAAGTGCGTCCTACTACTGGTTCCGCCGTCCTACGTCACTTCCGAGTATCTCTGGGAAGTGATATTGCCGCATCACCCTGCATAGGTAATTCAGTGAATTCAGAAGGACTGGGCCCTCTGCATTTTTGGTTTCACCTACACAGGGTGATGGGGCAAGCCCTTTCCGCAGCAGTGCACTTCCCGCCCAGCCAATACAGCTCCTCCCACCATGCTCAACTGTGTGCATGCACGCAAAGTGAGGGAAGGCATATCACAATCTGAGCCGTTGGGTGAAAGCAGCGGGCTTGTATGTGAATCTGGAAGTCTGCGCGGACAGGGCCCATGGTGGGCCCTCTGAGTCTCCTCCTTTATATACAAGCCCACTGCTTTCACACAACATTTCAAAATGTGGCCTGCCAGCCCCTCACCTTGTGTGCACGTGCAGCCGGCAGCAGGAGTATTGTGGCCCACAATGGGAGTATCCTGACATGCATCTTGGCATTCAGTGGAAATGGCAGGTGGTATTTGGGAGCCCAAGTCAACTCAGGGCCCACAAGCTTCAAGTTACGCCTCTGAAAAAGACCTTAATGAAGAATTGTAGTCAAACAATAGCGGTTACCTAATGAGACTATGTGGCATTGACACAGAAAGATACAATACAACTTTAGTTTATTCAATTCTCTTTAAAATAGGTATCCAAAAATACAATATAAAATTTTTTTTTAGTGCATTGTTGTCTCAACATATACAAACACCATTGCATATGTTGCACTACCCTCTTAGGACTTGCTGAAGTTTTGGGTCCCCCTATAGTCCTGCACAGTCAGGCAACACGCATTTTCACATCCACTTGCATTCAGGACTCGGTCACCAGTCCGTAAGCTTGTTTTAACATTTTATTAGGCGATTTAGAACTTGGATGGGATAAGGGGTGTACCGGATGCCCAAGAGAACTGAGAACAGAGGACAACTTCCTGAACTATGTACAACTACTGGGCATCCTCTCCCAGGGATTGGCTGTCTTCACATAAAAATCCTCTTTGCGGAGAGCTAGCCAGCATCTCCTGTTGTACCACTCCAGACCCTAGATGTTCCTCTATCCAGCTGCCTGGAGGAATCCCTGAGCAGGGGATCCAGTGTCTCTCACTTTTAGAGATAAGACAGTCCCGGGTGGTTGCTAATCTGGTTTCCCACAAGAGTGCTCCTTCCCTTATCTGGCCCAGGGGGTGCAGGCCTACTCACTCAGTTCTTCTCCTGTGTTGCTGATGGGTCGGTGGCTGCTATCAGGCCTTTTAGCTGGGCTGCTCCTTCCCTGTCTCACAGGTAGTCCTCTCTCAGGGGGCTGGTGAAGTCCCGAGAATTCCTCCTTCCAAGGTCCTCTACCTGTAGGTGAGCTCCTCTCCATCTGGTCCCCCTCACATACTCCTCTCTCCAGCCTCACTTCCTCTCCATCTTCCACCTGAACTCTTCTGCTGCTGAGCAGGCTTAGTTACTCCTAAAGGCTGTCCTGGCCCCTTGCCAAGCTCCCTGTTGGGGATTGGCTAGGATTCTCTAAGAGTACAGACCACCCACTGCTTCTAGATCTTTCTCCAAAGGTCTAGAGCAGGGGAAAATTCCAGAGGGCTGGCCTGCAGAGCCTGTCAGCTCTGACCACATTTTGACCCCTGCTATCTATCACACCCAGGCTGCTTCTCATCCCTAACTAACAATTGGAGTCCATCTCCCCCTAGCTGACTAGGAGGGCACTACACATACGTCAATATAGTCCATTTAGTGGAGGGTGACTGATTATCTAGTTACAGTACTTATGAACTAAGTCCCTTATTCAACTAGGTTGAATTTAAGGTGACAGAGGACTGCACCCAACGTGTGCGTTTGGCATACAGACAAGATTAATTGCTCCTTTAAAAAATATTTTTGTAAAAGGGACACACCCCCTTCACTTGGCACACATCAGCAAAGCTGAGGCTGTCAATCACAGGCTGTGCCCTCCCTGTCATCTTTGTTTCTCTTGGTGTCAAGAAAACTTGTCAGAAGAGATTCATGCTGATAGCAGAGGAATGAGACAGCAGACAGAAATTACACTTAGTGCTCTTGATAGAAAGAAATACACACTGTAGAGTGATTTGCTTTGTTCATTTCATGTTCAAGGTTTACAACCACTTTAGGCCAACAGAAAGTTTTCCACCTGTTGTTCTTCTGCTTGAAAAACCCTTCAGGCAGAGTTCTCCCTATATGCAGGAGTGAGACATCAGCTCCCAGCTGTCAATACAGGTTTAATGTATTGACATCATCAGCGTATTCCCCAAACTATCCCCATTACCATTCTAAGGCCAGACAAAGTGAGGACACCTACCTGGTAATCCTTGTGTATGATCCCGGTAGTTCTGCTCCAATAATAATATATTTGAACGAGTGTCCCTGTGTTTTGCAAGTTCTGCTCTAAGCTCTTATTTTTATTTTCCATCTACCTGTTCACAATGCATTCTTCTTGTAGGCAGGGACATTGAATCTGTCTCCCAAAGCCGTACATAAGATAAATGCTCCAATCTAGAAGGAGCACCTTACCAGCGGTGGCTTATGTTTAATAGTTAAAATAAAACAAGCCTGTTGGGAGAGCAGACTCCGGAGCCAGCCGATGACAAGAATTGATTGCGATTATGCAAAAGGAACGTTTTGTTTGTCTTAAAACCATACAGACTTTTTTTCTTTGTTTCTTTTTTTTTTGTTTTTTTGCAATCACTCATCACTGCTGTCACCGCCAAAGAGGGAATAAAAAAAATGAGTTCTTTATTTGTCAGCCGCTGCCCTCAACTGGTCCTCGAAAGATCTGCAAGATTTATGATTAGGGTTCATTCATCAAGCTTGGCAGTGTACACAAAAGGCGGGAAAATGGCACTTGATGGATTTTTGCTTTTTAAGATTTTTTTTGTGATTTATCAGAACGCATTGTGCATCATTCATAAGGTATTTTTCTTTCCCTTCTCTAGATGACACTGGCCTAAATTACCACAACGTGTTTGCTGTAGTTTTTATGTGCTGCTCTTTGGATTATCTTGCATCATAAGATGTTCATTCAGCACCAAAATGTATTTATGGCAGCAGCAGACACAGATTGTAGAGGGTTCCTATCAGGGGTGGACTGACCATTTGGAAACTCGGGCACTGCCCGAGGGCCTGGTGTCAGTAGGGGGCCCCATGAGATGCCCCTGGTACCTTTTTCATAGTTTTTTTTGAGTTTGGGCAAGGACACAGGGGCCCCATGATCCCCTATTGCTCGGGGGCCCCATGAGTTGTCAGTCCGCCCCTGGTTCCTATACCAAGAAACAACAGGGGACCCCCTTTTCTTTAACACCTTTTTATTAGAGGTGTCACCAGAAATCTATTTCTGCTTCATAAGCTGTGGCTTAGGGAGGCCAGACACCAAGGGGTTTATTTACTAAAGCTGGAGAGTCCAAAATCAGACTCCCTTCTGCAGAGAAACCAATCAGCTTCCAGGTTTCATTGCCAAAGCTTCATTGAACAAGCTGAGGTTAGAAGCTGATTGGTTTCTATGCAGAAGGGAGTCTGATTTTAGACTCTCCAGCTTTAGTAAATAAACCCCCAAGGGTCCCCCACATTTTATGATGTTGGCAGGCAGTAGAACATTTTTGCCTTTCATCATCATCATCATCATCTGACCTGGGGGTGCAGTAAAAAAAAATCAGGGGGCATAATGTCACACTGTGCATGTAAGTCACTGGTGGTCTGTCACACAGTGTCCTGGGAAACTAGCATGTATTAGAATGTCATTAGATTATGGTAATTAAACAAAACCTGTGCCCCATTATATCAGACGTCCTATCAAGAGTCCCCGTTTACATCAGAAGAACTCATCAGAGTCCTTCTTTACATCATGACTCTTTACATCAGGTTCCCATCAGAGTGCCCCCTTTCATTCATGTCCCCATCAAAGAACCCCCTTATATCAGCATCCTCATCAAAATGCCCCCTTACATCATGTGTCCCCATCAGAGCACCCACTTACATCATTGTCCCTAATGGAGCCCCTCCTTACATCAATTGTTCTCATAGGAGTGTCCCCTTACATATTATTATTATTATTATACAGGATTTATATAGCACCAAAAGTTGATGCAGAACTTTACAACATAAGGGCAGACAGTACAATTACAATACAAACGAATACAGGAGGATTCAGAGGGCCCTGCTCATTAGAGCTTACAATCTAACAGCATATGATCAGTTATCCCCATCTGAATGCCCCCTTACATCATGTGTCTCCATCAGTGTGTCCCCTTACATGAGGTGTCCCCATCAGTGCGCCTCTTAAATCATGTTTCTCCATCAGTGTGTCCCCTTACATCAGGTGTCCCCATCAGAGTGCCTCTTACATCACGTGTGTCCATCAGTGTGCCCCCTTACATCAGTTGGCCCAATCAAAGTGCCTCTTTACATGGGGACAATCTGTCAGATTGCCCCCTTACATCAACTATCTGCATCAGATTGGACTGTGGATCAGTGTATGCACTCTCAGAGATCTGTGGGATATAAGTAAAATCTGGGGGGACACAGCCCACACCAGTACCCCCCTAGATCCAGCTCTGCATCATCAAGGTTTCCAGACCCCTGTCATGCCTGCCAACACCATAGAGCCAGGTTCTTATTCTTACTGCCCCTGCACAGCTCGTACATCTTTTGTTGGTGTAAATGTACATACAAATCCCTCTCTCTGGATCTGGACACAAAGAACTGACCTTCTAGCAGAGATGTATCTAAAGCAGCCACAGCTTGAATTCGTAGCACCCTCCTAGTTATGTTACTAGAAAAGTTTAGGTAAATTTAGATTTTTTTTTTGGCTCTTCTGTAGTCAATGAAGCAGTGTGTGATTGTTTTTGGCTGTTCTGAGTTTCCCTGGATGCAGGCTCAACTGCTTATCCCTGCCTTCTGGTGTATTCTAGATTGTAGTTTGTTGAAAAAGGCAGACCGTCAGTCTGAATATGTATGTGGCTTCAGCCAATCCCTGGGAGAGGATGCCCAGTAGTTGGCTGAGGAGTGCTTTAATGGTTTGGGGACTAGAACAACAGGGTTCTTGTCCAGAAATAGAATTTTTCAACCTGGAGGGCTACTGCCCTTCTGGGCAGTGCAGCTGAAGTTTCAGGAGTTCATCTAGGTCCCAGCTGAGCTGGAGCTGGGGAGCCTATTTTCTGAGAATAGCTGGAGCTGATCGAGGGATTTCACTGAGGATCTGGCCTGAGAAATCACAGAAGTGTCTGAATGATAGTCTGACTGGTATTGGGAGAACGCATCAAAGTATCCAGGGACGTTATGAGTATAGGCCTGAGTGTAGGATCCTAATGACTGTCTGCTGCTACTATCCCTTTGTGCATCAGTTTTGGTGCTTGCCTGGATTGGGACATTCCCCTTTTTGGGGTCCCAGTGCTGCTCATTCCCTTAGTGTATGCTAAAGGGACCATGCTATCAAGTTTAGATGAAGCAAAGAGTGTCCTCTGATTGTTGCACTGTGTTTCTGGAGTATCCAACAGCTCTCTGCACTTTAACCAAGTCCAACATTTTAGCATCAAAAGATACCCCCAGCCTGGTCATTGAGCCGTGAGAGTGAATGTGCTACTGTGTGCCTGGCTGCTATTACACCAACTTGGGAAAGGGACCTAGGGACTAATCAGTGGGCCCTTTAGGGGGTGAGCACAACAAAAAGAAAATCCTGTTCCTTCCAGCAGCACAGTGGGACTCTTGTTCCTGGGATAACTCATTGCAGAAGTCCAAAAAAATCCCCAACCAAGTCAAACCTATACCCCTGCAATCAGCAAAGCTCATATTACCCACTGATTGCAGAGCTTCAACTCTGACTCAGCAAGGTGTGTAGGACAGATGACTGCTTCCATACAGAATTTAAAGGTCCTACTCTGTAGAATGCAGGCAATGGCCTGTCTTTCTATCCTGGTTGTAGCTATTTTCTAAAGAAAAAACATACTTTAAACCATGAACACCTTTTGTTTTGATGCTCTTGAGTCCTACAATGCATTTAGCTACTTTAAACTGAAGTTCAGCTGGGTATTAACTGCTCTTTGTTCTCCAAGGTAATTCCCAGGAGGGAAAGGTCCGAAATAAACGTGGGTTTCAAGATGCCATGATTTTGACAATGTAACTTAGAAATTTCATCATTATGGATACCTGTTTGTTGCTAGGTCTAAACCAAGTTTAACCTTTCTCTAAATTCTTTAGATGACACACCTGAGACGTGCATCTATTCAAACTGGTCTCCTTGGTCGGCCTGTAGTTCTGCCACCTGTGAGAAAGGAAAACGAATGAGGCAGCGCATGCTGAAAGCCCAGCTAGATCTCAGCGTTGCCTGTCCAGACACACAGGACTTTGAGCCATGCATGGGACCAGGATGCAGCGATGATGGTAAGATTTAGAAGTTTACTTCATGTAGGCAGACCTGAAATGTGATATTGTACATGACATGAAGATGAAGGGCAAGAAGTCCCATATTATTTTTGTTTTAACACTACCCTTCTACGTTTTCCATAAAATTATTCAATAGTGTTATTGCAGAAAATGAATTTATAGAATATTTGAATTAAGGGTTGAATCACTCATTGACTTCTTATATCTTAGAGTGACTATTCTCAACCGGGGTTCCATTGAACCCTGAGGTTCCTCCAGAGGTTGCCTCTGATAAGTGACCATTGACACCATTGATAATTTTTAGCTCTCTGTAAGGAGGAAGTCTTCCTAATGACCCCATGGCACCTCCTGTAGCCCCTGATGACCACCGCATCCTTCATGAGAAATATGGCTAAAGCTACTTACAGGCATCAAGCTGATCACACATATTACAACCTGTTTGTAAAATCTAATTTGGTACAATGACTTACTTGATGCAAATGAAATGGTTTGTATAGATAGGTTCCCACATTACATAGCTCTGGTAAATCTAAAGGAGATTGTACAGAGATTATACAAATAAAATGTAATGTGCAATAATTTGAAACTGTACACTCACTGGCCACTTTATTAGGTACACCCAGGGGCGGACTGACCATTGGGGAACTCGGGCACTGCCCGAGGGCCCTGGGTCAGTAGGGGGCCCCACGAGATGTCCGTGGTACCTTTCATAGGCTTTTTTGTGTGTGGTTTGAGTGTGGGCGAGGACACAGGGGCCCCATGATCCCCTATTGCTTGGGGGCCCTATGAGTTGTCATGTCCGCCCCTGGGTACACCATTACACCACCCCCACCAGCCTGAACCATTGATACAAGGAATGATGGATCCATGCTTTCATGTTGTTTACGCCAAATTCTAACCCTACCATCTGAATGTTGCAGCATCCAGTCTGCCCATTCTCCTCTGGCATCAACAAGGCATTTTCGTCTACACAACTGCCGCTCACTGGATATTTTTTTGACCATTCTCTGTAAACCCTAGAGCTGGTTGTGCATGAACATCCCAGTAGGTCAGCAGTTTTACTCAGACCAGCCCCTCTGGCACCAACAACCATGCCACGTTCAGAGTCACTTAAATCCCCTTTCTTCCTCATTCTGATACTCGGTTTGAACTTCAGCAAGTTGTCTTCACATCTACATGCCTCATTGCATTGAGTTGGTGCCATGTGATTGGCTGATCAGCAATTTTTGTTATGAAGCAATTGAACAGGTGTACCTAATAAAGTGGGCAGTGAGTGTATTAGTGTGGGACACAGAAGAGACTTTTATGGCTAATAAAGGCATCAGTAGGCATTTTGAGGATGCAACAAATTGACTTTAAAATGGAAAATTAGACATGTTAAAAGATTGTTTGGGGGGGGGAAAGAAATAGAAAAAATAAAAAAATGGGCCCATTTCTTCAGATTGAGGTTTTATGCCTGTACAGGCTGTCAGAAAACCCTAGTGCTAGATGATTTGTCTTTTTCCTTTTACTGCAAGGTAGTTCCAGATTGGTAGTCCATCAGTATATGTACATATCTGTTTGCTTTCAGATGGTTCAACATGCATGATGTCAGAATGGATCATGTGGTCACCCTGCAGTGCCTCTTGCGGAATGGGAATGCGATCTAGAGAAAGATACGTAAAGCAATTCCCGGATGATGGCTCTATGTGCAAAGTGCCAACAGAAGAAACTGAGAAGTGTATTGTCAATGAGGAGTGTGGTGAGTAGCATCTACCTCTTTACTGTATGCTGCTTTAAATGGAGGACAGGAAGTGAGAAAAAATCTCCCCAGTGGCATCACAGATGGAAATATAAGCTTGACAGTAATTTTTAACACTCTATCCAAAGCCAAAAGGAAAAACAATTGCCTGACTCTTGGTTTTAAACACATTTTATATAGAGTATTTCTGATTGTTGAGCTTACAAAGCAAGACTTTTAGCAACTGCATATTAGAGACTTTTATCACTTTTATTTTACAAATATGGCCTTTGTTATTATAATATTGAGCTATCTCATTGTGGGAATTTATTACTAAAAGAAATCTAGACTATGATGTGCATCGAATTCCCAAGCATCGTACCCACTGGATAAAAAAAAAAACATACCGTTATTATATTACACCAATTATTATTATTATTATTATTAGTGTAAAGTCCTGCTCTTTACGCCCAACATGTTTTGCCACGTCATGACCTCTTCAGGGGATAAAGTACATAGCATGTGGACAGCACGGAGGAACCACATGCAGTCAGTTGAATGTAATTATTTGTTTTAAGTGTTAGCATGATGGTACTGCTTTAATGTATGAGTTAACCCTTTGAGGACCATAAGATTACGGAACGCCAAAAGAATCAATTTTTTGTTTTTAAAGTTCATACAGTTCAGTTGCTGTAACTAAGCCATTTCATGAAATAATTTGCAGAAAGCTAGATCCATTTGTTGATAAGAACTAATATTTTGACTCAAACCAAAAAAAAAAAGTATTTTAAGCTCTTAATCAGATGATACAGGCAATTAAAAACATGGGACAAATACGTCCCTTGGTCCTCAAAGGGTTGAGACCAAACCACTACACCAGGCTCCACATTGGAAAGATAACCTCACCTGCCAGTGACACCTGTCTAGGCACGGACTACAGAGCCATTTTGATGGAAATAGCGTTGAATAAAGATTTTCCTCACTAGTTCTTTAACACACTTTTCTTGCTTCAGCCCGAAGACATGGAGGGAAGCTGCTGTATCTGTCACAAGGCCCCACACACCCATGATCCAGGCCCTGGCAGACATATGCATTTTGTTTTACTTTGATTTTTTTATTGGATCTGAATTTTGTGATGCACAGTCGATATTGTCAGCTCATGCCATTTCTCTTGGTGGGTTGGACCAGCATCTGAAAATATTGAATCCTTCTGATTCTAATCTGACCAATTCGATAATATATCGAATATAGAGCAATCTTACAGAAAAACTTCAACATTTTTCCAATCCACCCGGACCTAAGAATATACAAAACCAATGCTGAAGATATGAAACAAATCCGGTAAACCTAAAGATTATGGCAAAACAATTTTTTTTTTCTATGAACAAATGCATCCAAAACAAAACAGCATACACTTGTCTAGTCCCTAGGAGGGTTCTGCTACACAGTGGGCCCTAATACAGAGGCCCTGTTACTTAGAAGTGTACTTAGAAGTGTAAACCAAGCAGCCACCAATACAACCCTCTGACAGAACCTTCATCCCCGACCACCACTGCCTCCTCTTCTGAACCGGCTGCTTCTCCTTCCTTTTATTGTTACTCTCCATTACCACTAAGGTCAACATAAAGGTCTACACTTTGTTTCCATTTCACATTCACTATAGGAACACACTTCTACTCTCTGTTCTCGGTAAATCAGACCAGACGATTCACTTAACCAACAACTTCTTTAACTGAATAAAATGGCTTAGCATACAGTTTCTCTTCGTCTCCAGATTACAGTTTTTCTATTATTCACATGGGCAATGTGACAAGTCAATAGGACGGTGTTCCCTTTTAAATACTAGACTGGATTTAGCCAATGTGGGTACTTGGGTTGTACTTTGGTACTCATACCTTTAGCTTGTAACAGTTTTTACCTAGTTGTAATATGGCTCGTTACACAGTTTCAGAGTTTCCAGCCAAGTGCCAACGCCACTTAGGTGTAAATCTACATCTCCTCCATGTATGGTCCTTCTCACTCCCATGACCAACCTTCTGCACTGCCCAACACCTTCCTGCAACCTATATACCCCTGCTATGGGAAGCACCATAGGTCAAATGACAAATACACCACAGCACATTAAAGTGTTACTAAACCCACAATAGCAAAATCAGTCTGTATATGCAGTAAGCATGCTTGTTATACTCACTGTGGAACCTAAGGGGTTAATCCTCTGCATTGTGTAAAAACACTGTTTGATCCTGACTTCTCTGATCCTCCCCTTCTTCCAGTGTCCCCCTCTTATCCCCTAATAAGACATTATCTATCATGTGGAGTCCCTCTGCATGTGCTCAGTTTGGTGGGTATTGCTAGAGAGGTTTTTTTTGTTCTGTTCTTGGGAGAGTGCATGTGATCAGCACAGGGCTAATCAGCACTGTCCAGACAGAGGACGGGGGCCCCTGCATCTTCCTAGAGCAGAATGAAAACTCCTCCTACAAAATTTGACACGTGCTCGGCTAGACATTGATAGAAGTCACAAGACTGCTCTAACTGCTGATGAGAAAAGGTATTTAGCAGTTTATATTTACTGAAATAATTGCACTTCCATGTTCTGTGTATTGTGGGAGACCAGATATAGTGAATGCAGGGTCCTGGGTTTAGTAACACTTTAACCCTTGAGTCACTAAATATTAACCGCATAAGTGAAGACCACTGTCACATTTTAGGCTCCCTCATGTAAAGTGTACTGTGCAAAATTCAACATTAAAATGTGCATGCTGTTGAATTTTGTGCAGTACATTATGCACTTTTTCCGTGAAGATGCCACAGAATGTGGAAAAGCATGTTGGGAGCACAGAGTAGTGCTTCCCATTAAGTGAACCTGGGTATGGACATGTGCACTCACTGACCATTTTAGCATCTGGCACCGTGGATTAATTAATCTTCAAAATGTACAACAGAAACACCTCAGTCATTCAAATCATTCTCTCAACAACTCAGCTCCACTTTTCAGTGAACCTATCATTCTCATAGGCCAGGGGTCTCTAAACCTTATAAACAAAGGGCCAGTTTACTGTCATTCGGGGGCCAGACTTTAGCTAGTATAAGTAGAAAATGTCCCATCATTGGTATTAGGGCGAGTAATAATATCCCACCATTGATATCATTGGGATGAATAGTGCCCCATCTTTGGTGTCAGTATTAGTGTTCCATCACTGGTGTCAGTGGGAGGAATAGTGCACCATCATTGGTGTCAGTAGGAGGAATAGTGCCCCATCATTGGCATCAGCGGGAGGAATAGTGCCCCATCATTGGTATCAGTGGGAGGAATAATGCCCCATCATTGGCTTTAGTGAGAGGAATAGTGCCCCATCATTGGCATTAGTGAGAGAAATAGTGTCCCATCAATGGTATTAGTGGAAGGAATAGTGCCCCATTGTTGGTATCAATGGGAGGAATTGTGCCCCATCATTGGCATCAGTGGGATGAATAGTTCCCCATCCTTGATATCAGTGGGAGGAATAGTGCCCCAACATTGGTATTAGTGGGAGGAATAGTGTCTCATCATTGGTATCAGTGAGAGGAATGGTGTCCCACCAGTAGTATTAGTGGGAAAAATAGTGCCCCATCATTGGCATCAGTGGGAGGAATAGTGCACCCTCATTGGCTTTAGTGAGAGGAATAATGCCCCATTCTTGCTATTAGTGGGAGGAATAGTGTCCCATCATTGATATCAGTGGGAGCAATACTGACCCATCATTGGTGTCAGCTGGAGGAATAGTGCCCCATCGTTGATGCCAGTGGGAAAAATAATGTCCCTTCATTGGTATTAGTGGGAGAAATAGTGCCTTATTGTTGGAATCAATGGGAGGAATAGTGTCCCTCCATTGGTATCAGTGGGAAGAATAGTGTCTCATCATTGACTTTAGTGAGAGGAACAGTGCCCCATCCTTGTTATTAGTGGGAGGAATAGTGCCCCATTGTTGGTATCAATGGGAGGAATAGTGCCCCATCATTAGTGTCAGTGGGAGGAATAGTGCCCCATTGTTAATGCCAGTGGGAAAAATAATGCCCCATCATTGGTATTAGGGGGAGGAATAGTGGCCCATCATTGGTGATAGTGGGATGAATAGTGCCCTATTGTTGGTATCAATGGGAGGAATAGTGGCCCATCATTGGTGATAGTGGGATGAATAGTGCCCTATTGTTGGTATCAATGGGAGGAATAGTGGCCCATAGGTCAAATGACAAATACACCACAGCACATTAAAGTGTTACTAAACCCACAATAGCAAAATCAGTCTGTATATGCAGTAAGCATGCTTGTTATACTCACTGTGGAACCTAAGGGGTTAATCCTCTGCATTGTGTAAAAACACTGTTTGATCCTGACTTCTCTGATCCTCCCCTTCTTCCAGTGTCCCCCTCTTATCCCCTAATAAGACATTATCTATCATGTGGAGTCCCTCTGCATGTGCTCAGTTTGGTGGGTATTGCTAGAGAGGTTTTTTTTGTTCTTGGGAGAGTGCATGTGATCAGCACAGGGCTAATCAGCACTGTCCAGACAGAGGACGGGGGCCCCTGCATCTTCCTAGAGCAGAATGAAAACTCCTCCTACAAAATTTGACACGTGCTCGGCTAGACATTGATAGAAGTCACAAGACTGCTCTAACTGCTGATGAGAAAAGGTATTTAGCAGTTTATATTTACTGAAATAATTGCACTTCCATGTTCTGTGTATTGTGGGAGACCAGATATAGTGAATGCAGGGTCCTGGGTTTAGTAACACTTTAACCCTTGAGTCACTAAATATTAACCGCATAAGTGAAGACCACTGTCACATTTTAGGCTCCCTCATGTATAGTGTACTGTGCAAAATTCAACATTAAAATGTGCATGCTGTTGAATTTTGTGCAGTACATTATGCACTTTTTTTTCCGTGAAGATGCCACAGAATGTGGAAAAGCATGTTGGGAGCACAGAGTAGTGCTTCCCATTAAGTGAACCTGGGTATGGACATGTGCACTCACTGACCATTTTAGCATCTGGCACCGTGGATTAATTAATCTTCAAAATGTACAACAGAAACACCTCAGTCATTCAAATCATTCTCTCAACAACTCAGCTCCACTTTTCAGTGAACCTATCATTCTCATAGGCCAGGGGTCTCTAAACCTTATAAACAAAGGGCCAGTTTACTGTCATTCGGGGGCCAGACTTTAGCTAGTATAAGTAGAAAATGTCCCATCATTGGTATTAGGGCGAGTAATAATATCCCACCATTGATATCATTGGGATGAATAGTGCCCCATCTTTGGTGTCAGTATTAGTGTTCCATCACTGGTGTCAGTGGGAGGAATAGTGCACCATCATTGGTGTCAGTAGGAGGAATAGTGCCCCATCATTGGCATCAGCGGGAGGAATAGTGCCCCATCATTGGTATCAGTGGGAGGAATAATGCCCCATCATTGGCTTTAGTGAGAGGAATAGTGCCCCATCCTTGGTATTAGTGGGAGGAATAGTGCCCGGCATTGGTTTCAATGGGAGGAATAGTGCCCCATTGTTGGTATCAATGGGAGGAATAGTTCCCCATCATTGGCATCAGTGAGAGGAATAGTGCCCCATCATTGGCATTAGTGAGAGAAATAGTGTCCCATCAATGGTATTAGTGGAAGGAATAGTGCCCCATTGTTGGTATCAATGGGAGGAATTGTGCCCCATCATTGGCATCAGTGGGATGAATAGTTCCCCATCCTTGATATCAGTGGGAGGAATAGTGCCCCAACATTGGTATTAGTGGGAGGAATAGTGTCTCATCATTGGTATCAGTGAGAGGAATGGTGTCCCACCAGTAGTATTAGTGGGAAAAATAGTGCCCCATCATTGGCATCAGTGGGAGGAATAGTGCACCCTCATTGGCTTTAGTGAGAGGAATAATGCCCCATTCTTGCTATTAGTGGGAGGAATAGTGTCCCATCATTGATATCAGTGGGAGCAATACTGACCCATCATTGGTGTCAGCTGGAGGAATAGTGCCCCATCGTTGATGCCAGTGGGAAAAATAATGTCCCTTCATTGGTATTAGTGGGAGAAATAGTGCCTTATTGTTGGAATCAATGGGAGGAATAGTGTCCCTCCATTGGTATCAGTGGGAAGAATAGTGTCTCATCATTGACTTTAGTGAGAGGAACAGTGCCCCATCCTTGTTATTAGTGGGAGGAATAGTGCCCCATTGTTGGTATCAATGGGAGGAATAGTGCCCCATCATTAGTGTCAGTGGGAGGAATAGTGCCCCATTGTTAATGCCAGTGGGAAAAATAATGCCCCATCATTGGTATTAGGGGGAGGAATAGTGGCCCATCATTGGTGATAGTGGGATGAATAGTGCCCTATTGTTGGTATCAATGGGAGGAATAGTGGCCCATCATTGGTGATAGTGGGATGAATAGTGCCCTATTGTTGGTATCAATGGGAGGAATAGTGGCCCATCATTGGTGTTAGTGGGAGCAATAGTGCCCCATTTTCAATGTCACTGGCAGGAACTACACCCCACTGCTGCTGAAAGTGGGGAGAATGCTGCCCCAAGGGCCAGATAAAAGCAAGCCAGGCCGCAGTTTGGAGACCACTGTTCTAGTCTCTAATGTTAGAACAATAACTCTGGAAGCAGATTGAGCTGTGTTGTTGAGAGATGGCAACCTGAAGTGTGAAATTTGTGGATGAATGCACAGTGCCTGTTGCTAAAGAGGTCAGTGAGGATTTGTCCTAAAGCTCATTTACTGTAGGCTAATAATATGTATATACAAAAATGTCTATACCCTGGTTCACTTTAGGCTCATCATAGCTTGCCCATACATACTGAACCATGAGAAGCAGGTTGAACAACTCAGAATTATATGACATTGTGCAGAAGCCCCTGGAAGCATTATGACAAGCCTGGTTAATCTGGCTGCTTTTATATTTTTGATGTTATAAGCACTCTTCAGAGAGAGAGAAAGATGAACATGAAGAAAGAACAGAATGAATAAGGGTTAAAAAAAATCTAATGATGCTTTAATACTATTGATTTTACAGAGCCAAGCAGCTGTATAGTAACAGAATGGGGTGAGTGGGAGGAATGCAGCGCCACCTGTGGGATGGGTATGAAAAAGCGACACAGGATGATTAAGATGACTCCAGCGGATGGGTCCATGTGCAAGGCCGAGACCTCAGAGGTGGAGAAATGCATGATGCCTGAGTGCCGTATGTATATGTTTTATTCTATATACATATTTCCAAGTAACAGTAGACCTTTTATTATGTTTTATATACGAACAAATGAGTACTGAATGGTTTATGGCCTGTAAGTGAGTGCAAAACAACACATTAACTTTAAGACCGAGCAATCTTTCCATGTGTTTACATTTCCTTTATTCCCTAGCTGCTCTGCTTACTTAAGACAATCCTGTGTAAGCTCCAAGTCATTCCAGATGGAGCTGACATAGCCAGTCACTGAGCATCAGTATTGTCTCATAGGGGTTTATTTACTAAAGCTGGAGAGTCCAAAATCAGACTTCCTTCTGCATAGAAACCAATCAGCTTCTAACCTCAGCTTGTTCAATGAAGCTTTGGCAATGAAACCTGGAAGCTGATTGGTTTCTATGCAGAAGGGAGTCTGATTTTGGACTCCTCCAAAACAGTCAAATGTTCCTCCATATCCAAAAGTAGTGAGTGTTGTCTTCAATCCTAATGGCTAAAGTGGTGGGGGAGCAAAGGAAACATGTTTATCCTGCTGGGAAGAGAGCTAATAAATAGAACCAGTTGGATGAAACACAACAGAGCTAATAACCTGGAGCACCTGTGGAGCCAGAGTTGGGCTCATTGAAGATGAGGGTCTGTCTCCAAAGCAAGCTTGGTTCTGAAGCCACTCTGGGATTGCATCCAGCAGGCATGGGGTACTGCCAACTGTAATATACAATGGGATTGATGCAATAAACAAGTAGAGAATGTTCGTATTACAAAGTGAATTTTTAGTTAGCACTTACACGCATAAAGTCTGTAGAGGATAGACCCCATACCGCATTACTCTCCTGATTTGTTATTTTGTCTCTAATAATCAGATACAATCCCATGTGTCCTCTCACCATGGTCGGAATGGAGCGACTGTAGCGTGACCTGTGGCAAAGGAACCCGTACACGACAACGGATGTTGAAGTCACCAGCTGAACTTGGGGACTGTAATGAGGAGCTGAAGCAAGTGGAGAAGTGCATGCTTCCAGAGTGCCGTATGTATAGATAATCCCATATTCTGGATGGGTAAATAAAATAGGGATCTGAACAGGAATCTTCTGGGATCCCACTGGGCATTGTATTGGCCACACAGCTGGTAGTCATAAATACAGATTTTGTCATGTCTCCAAATCTCTAAGATGATTGTGCACTGGGCAATTAGGGTGATATGCTACCATAGAGTAATGGAAGGTTGCCATAGTGACTTTCATAGGTTATCCAAATTATCTACTGCCCACAAAAAAAGTAATAAAGTAAGAGTTAAATGCCTTCTGCTATTTTTATTTTTGTAGCTAGTGGTACAGAGAGACAAGTTATCAAGTACCTGGTAATGGAGGCCAATGGAGAGAGGGCTTCCCTTGCGGCTCAGTTCTGGACTCCCCTGAGAGTGGGACAGTGGGAGTCAGGCCCAAAGTTGCACAGGTCGCCTGTAGGAGTGCTGGTTGGTGGTCCACTCAGAAGCACAGCTGGTGCACGGAGATAGGTCTGCAGACAGGAGGCCCTTCCAGGATTTGGATGTTTACTGGGATGTCGGTTCAAGCCAAGGTCAGGTACCAGGTGGGAATCAGAGCGAACGTAGTCAGATGGGAAAGCCGAGGTCATTCACAGAGGAGCGAGAGAGAGAGAGGGTATCCGTAAGCCAAGCCGAGGTCAGATCAGGGGTAAATCAGAGTAGACAGGTCCAGGAGCAAGCCGAGTCGGTAACAGGGAAATCACAAGTCAGAACACAGGAACCAGGAACAGGGCACGGGGAACTAGAGATCATCCAGCAACCAGAGGAAGTGATGAGCCTCCTTATAAAGGCCATCTGGCACCAGACTGAGGCTGATGTGTACTTCTGCGGCCATGTAGAGCATTGCAGAAGTGCCAGATCTTCCAGAACTCCTGCCGTGGACAGGACCCTGACATAAGTGTATTGATTGCAGTTAGAAAATAAGTCTGCAATATTATTATCTGTTAAGTTCACACGGGCAACCGAGGGGTGATCAAAAAGAGGGAAATCTGCATTTTTTCCTCCCCCTCCTGACCACCCAACTACAGTGACATGGCAGCTGCTTCAGTCTGTTCACATTGCTACGGCCGCTATATAAAACCCCCCTTGAGATCCAACAAAAACAGGCATTCCAGGGCAGGTCAGTATCACCTGTTGAACTCCTGAAAATCACCTCTAAGCAGCCTCTGAAATAGCAATCCACTATGGATTGCTTTTCATAGGGTTGGTAGAGCCTGCTGCCTGTTTGAAAGAAGCCAAAGTCTGAGACTCTTTCATACATTTTGAGAACTAGAATCATCCAATCATCAGCACCCAGATGTTCTTCACAAAACATATCAATCTGTTCTTGTTGTCGTGTTGCTATCTAAAAATTCTTGGCTTCTTTTACAAGTATCAGGAACACAAAATGATCTGACCATCTGATTGGCTATTTCCAGGGATGGAGTACCCCATAGCTGTTGGTGGTCAGTGGTGTTTTTCCCCTATAACACTGCTGGTGAGTGTCTATATGTCCTTTGTGTACCCCCTTGCTATAGAGTAGTGGTCATTGTGATTTAGGTTACTCCCTTTATAGGGCATTAGGCCCCTAGTGTGATTGGTGATCACAGACAGAAGGCGAAGGATTATCTACTTTTTTTAGTTTACATTTGTGATTGCTGTGATTGGCTATCATAGCAATCACAAGGCACAGAGCCACTCTGATTGGATCTGTGCCTATGATCTGTACAGAACAGTGGCTAAGTTGTTAGCACTTCCACCTAGCAGCACTGGCGTCATTGGTTCAAGTCCGAACCGTACGTTCATGGAGTTTATATGTTCTCCCTGTGCCTGTGTGGGTTTCCTCTGGGTACTCCGGTTTCCTCTCACATTCCAAAGACATGCTGGTAGGTTAAATGGCTCCTGTCTAAATTGGCCCTAATATATGTATGAATGTGAGTGTAGCACTACCCTTGAAGGAACCGCTTAGTGATTTTGCTTTCACTGTTCTGCGCCTCGGCTCCAAGAACACCCTTAACCCCTCAGTCACACCTGGTTAGTGGTAAACACTATAATACCAGAAAGTAGACTCACACACAGACTAGAGTCAATTGATATGAGGTTTATATCAACTTAAATGAAAACTTGGTTGGCTTGAGCAGTACAAGTTGATATTGATACTTGGAATAGCAATTATTACTCTTAGCAACTCTAAGCAAGGAAGCAACACCTATAACAGAAGCTCAATCAATGTTAGCAGACCTGCTTTTCAGAAATGTACCCAATGTCTCTCACCTGAGGTGGTGTCAACTCCAGTGAGAGCCAAGGACTAACAACAATGACACTAGATAATGTGGAGCCCTCAGAATCTGACAGCAAGGTTTAAATCTGAAGTAAAAGAATCTTTAACCAGGGTAGTCAATGTCCCTTTAAATGCAGTGAGGATTCCTTTGAGCACTCGCTGGGCCCATTTGATCCACAAATAGACAATGATGTAGGTGATAGCCCCTGGCAGGATTGGTACAAAGGGAAGGTAGAAGAAAGTTCAAGGACTTTTTCTTTAGGTGACACTTGACTTAGGTGTTGTCTCCCCCTCAATGCACTGGGAAAAAAGCGCAGCTTTTAGGCAGATAAAGTGTTAACTGACAAATGGGCTTGCTGGAAAAGGGCAACTCCGCTCTGGCATACAGTGACCAATGGCAACAGTGGTAGAAGTTCTTTTTAAGGAGGATAGGTCAATGGTTTGGAGAGCACTGATGTGATCTGGACTACCAGACGCGTGCACTGCAGTCAGCTCTACTGACTTGACTGTACTGCAAACGTGTTCAACAGTAGCGGCTATGACAACTAGACCGCAACACGTGTTAACTGAATATTGTGTCAACAACTGTGTGTAGGTAAGATAGCAGGCATGAGGAGACTGTCAGTGTTCTCTTGCTTGACTGGTGTATGGGACTCTCTCAGGGTGGTGGCTTCCAGTAGGCCCTGCCTGTCTCTCTCACGGTAGATGGAGCCCCCACAGGTTCTCCAGCCTCATGTGCAGAGTTCTGTCTGGTCACTGTGTTCTAGGTCACCTGCTGGCAGACTGTCTCGCTGAACAAGATGCCCAGGTCAGCGGTTCCGTCTCTCTCTCTCTGGCAGTGCTGGCAGGAGGGGGGGGGAGTGTGGTTCTCTCACCACTTTCCCTGTTAACTCAGCAGCAAGGTTCTCTCTGGTGGGTCTCTTCCCACTCCAGACTTCTGCTTTCTTTCCCCCTAAACTGTTCCACTTTTACCCAGCAAACCTTGATATCCCACTGTCCGGCCCCGGCAGTATGCTGGGGGCTGTAGTTCACTCCATATCTATCAGAATGGACTATACCACTGTCACCGCAGGAAGAGATATACCGAAGTTTAAAACACACAGACAGTAGCGCTCTTCAGAGGCAGGGATTCTTAGTTTGCATTAAAGAACTTTAGAAACAGTTCGACGCTTTCAGAAAGTAAGATTTCTTACTAAAAGGTCAAAAGGGTGCAATAAGACTATTGACAGAAAAAGATGTAGCCAATATATATAACTATATATGCAGAGGGCAATAGCACAGCAAAGAGATAACAGAAAGAAGTTTAGAGGGATAAAGTACTTGCCGTCAGCCTTGGTTTAAGCAGATCAGGTTTCAGAGCCAAAAGGATGCCTTATCTCCCAAAGTTAGTTCTGATGTTAAAAGGGAGAATCTTCAACTTTTCTCAACTCAGCTCAGCTTAGCTTTTTCTAGGAACTCAGCAGGGTGTCTCTCCTTGAAGCAGAGAACCACTCGCCTCATTTGCGGAGGGGTATGTAGGTAGAGACCCCAGCTAGAACAAAAATCCCTCTTAGTTTATATCCTGGCCCTAACTTACCATCGGTGCGTTTACCAGCCTGGCCACTAATAGAGTAATATGCAGATGCATCTGCTGAATGTTTAGATATGAAATATGACATACTTGCTTGGATGGTTAAGGAGATATGATGTTCTGCTCTCCTGTATATGCCAGCTAGGGGGTGTAATATATCAGGCAACTTGTATTAAAGTGAGCCGTCCAAATATGTGCTCCATGTTTATGTAATTATGTCCTAATTTGAAGATATAAAATTATATGGAAAAGTGAGTTTTTAAATGTAAACCTGTTTTTACGACTATCTGGAATGTCTTTGAAGCTCAGTGAGGGCTTGGTTTATGGCTTTACAATCCCTTCTCCAGCAAGAGTCTCGCAGAGATAGGGGCACCAGTTAGTGTGGGATTTATAACCATGACGCCCTCCCAATGAGTTTGCTGCCTGTGATCTGCATCAAACAGACCACATGTCACTCAACAGAGAGGGGGGGGATGAGGAAAGCTGATTTGGGAGTAGAAATGATACAAGATGGAAGATCCTTTGCCAAAATGGAGGGCTCGCATCCATCTCTGCGTGCATGTTTGCTACAACAACTGATAAAAGGAGTGTAATCAGGCTGATACAAACTGACTTGTGATAGACTTTTATGGGTTACTGCTCGACTCCTTCTCTCTAAGTATTTTGAATAATAAAATATAATAATAAAATATAATAAGGGTACATTGCGGTGGCGGTGACAGTAAATGTTTAGTTATTTAACAAAGCAATATACAGCCCCTACCAAATTTGTTTCCATATGAAATGATGCCATTGTAGCTGATGTAATGGACTCTGCTGTAAATTGTTCTCTAATGTCCAATTGCTGCCTAGTTACTGCAGCTTGTCTCTATCATGTCATTTAAGTGCATTATTTAACACCAGGCCTTCAATTTAAGGATTCGGAATTGCAGAGCTGTCTCTTCTGGGAGGGGGGGAAGAAAAACGATTTCATTTTCCTAAACAGACTATAGAATTAGAATGTCCTAGCGGCAATGCAAATTGAGGGGAACCCGAAGGTTGCTTAAGAGTAGAAAAGTGACAAATTACAGTGGACTAGAGATGAGCAAATAATGAGACGGCTGCCAGCTGACATACTTCGCTTCCATAATTCGAAAGAGCTCAACAGATCTGCTTTTTATGGAATAGTTTTCCGATAAAAGCAACTCTGTCCCTACTGTGTCCCTACCAGGGTGCGGGGGACACCTGGGTGTCCCCCCCGCACCGGGTGACACCGGGTGACACCTATTGCACAGGGTGACACCGGACCCGCTTCACGAAAAGGTACGTTTTAAAGTAAGCTGACGATCCCCGCAGGATGGATCTGATCTGCGGATTGAGCATAATGGATCGGAGTCTGATCCATTATCCTCCCCAATCCGCAGATCTGATCCATCCTGCGGGGATCGTCGGCTTGCAACCTATATGGGGTTAACTGATCTCTCCACAAGCTCCACGAAAAGGTAAGTTTTAAAGCAAGCCGACGATCCCCGCAAGATGGATCAGATCTGCGGATTGGGGAGCATAATGGATCGGACTCCGATGGAGGAGGTCATCAATCGCAGCCCACTTCTCCCTCCTAGGTTATCTTGGTGAATTGTCTGCTAGGTATGTGCACAGTGAGTAATGTGTAAGTGTCACCCTTGCAGGTATTACCTGCTACTTCCCACGCCTTCGTCTGCTTTGCTCTCCGAAAGGACAGATCTAACTCTGTTCAGGCATCATCCAGCGTCACCATATACTTCGTGGACTGAGATGCTGGTTCAGAAAGGACAGTCATTTAAATATCGGTGCCTGGGCAGGTCTTGACTGATCATACTGTAGCTCAGCCTTTCTCAACCAAGGTGCCCAGGCACTCTGGGGTGCCTTGAGGTTTCTTCAGGGGTGCCTTGGAAAAATTTCTAAAAATTTACCACTGTTGAACTAAGAATGATAATTCTATTTGACACAAGAGATAACGCCTGAATTTGGACATGGGATTCCTCAACCATTATCTGACATTTCTATGACTCCCTCTGTGATTGTTGTCCCCCCCCAGTCTTTGCTTTTGCTTTGCTGTATCTTATCTCTAATTTAACCCTAGGCTTGTGTTTCTTTCTGCTTTTTTTTTTTTTTTTTCTCTCATCTCCAACTTCTAACATTCTGCTAAAACAATGTAATAGTACTGCTCAGACCTTGAAGAAGGGGACATACCCCGAAAGCTTGTCCTCAAAATTGTCCTCAAAATTGTATGTTAGTGCAAATAAAAAAAAGTATCACGGACAGTACTCAATTATTTCTGTCACAAGTGCACTAATACGGCTACAATCACCTCCAAGTTAAAAATTTACCAAAACTTGTATACAAGCCAGCGGGTGGAACAATCCTGGCTGTCCATAATTTTAAAGGGTGCCTTGACCAAAAAAAGGTTGAGAAACACTGCTGTAGCTATATGATGAATATTAGCCTCTGCTGCAGCTTCTCACACTAAAGCTCCATTCAAACTTTGCGATTTGGAGTCATGGACAGAATCGTTGTGATTCTGCCCGCGATTCTAAGTTGCTTGGTGATCGCAGCACAACATGCAGCGATTATTCTTAATGACACTCCAAACGCGATGTGATTCTGCTGCAATTGTCACGAGACAGGACCATGTGACAATTTCAACAAAGCAGCGGCTTCTTTTGGGTGACAAACACACAAATGCGCATAGGGCATTCATGTAAATGGTCTAGCCCTATGTGACACGCAGAATCGCATGAAAACCATGCTGTCAAAATCGCATAGGGGGAATGCTCGTTCCTGCTGCGTGATAATATGATCTGGGGCCTAAAGCTGATGTCAGACGGGCGATTTTGTAGCAGGGAATATGCCAGTGATGCAGCTAGTGATTTAATTGCTAGAGTCGATGGCAATAATGGTACAGCATTGGGTTGTGCTCTGCTACAAATCGCTATCTAATGATTTAACAACAATCCATAGATGCATTAAGAGCGATTGCCATTAGTGAATTTGCTGCTGACATGAAATGGGGGTAATCTTGATCTTGAATACCTTATCTTGAAATGTTTTAATTGGAAAACCTTTATGAGAAATCAGTGGGTGACCGTCTTGGTGCAACTACAAAAACTTATCACAGACTGTACTCAACTGTACTCTTGCAGCAAAGAGAACTGAGTAGACAGCAGCCTGAACACAAAAATTACTTGTCTACGCATATAAATAATAATATAGCTACTACATAAAAATACATAAAACAGTCAAAGTATAATGAAATTAAATATTCTCCTTTTCAGCCATAAACTGTGAACTGACAGAGTGGTCCCATTGGTCGGAATGTAATAAGTCATGTGGAAAGGGTCACATGATTAGAACACGAATGATCACCTTGGAACCTCAGTTTGGTGGCGGCCTCTGTCCGGAAACTGTGCAACGCAAAAAGTGCAGGATCAGAAAATGCCAGAAAAATTCTGGGGGAGAGAAGAGGCGCCTGAAGGATGCTCGTGAGAAGAGGAGGAGTGAAAGGACCAACGAGGAGGCGGATGGTGAGCAGTTCCCAGGTAAGCAAGAAAGGGAGATTTCATAAAACTGTGATCAGATCCAGTTTTGGAGCCTCAAATATAAATCAATGGATCCTACTGTGGCTTCATCCCAACTGCTTTGGAAGAATTAATTTATTTTGGATGTACTTCTCCTATGGATCACAGGAGTGCAGTAGGTTCTGCACTCCAGTAAGTTCTGCACTCTTGTGATCCATTTTCAGCCAACATCAGGCTAAATTCTGTCAGCTGACATCACTGAGCTGGTCCAGGCCCTAAAAAGATCCTGATCATATGGTCAGGATCCACCCAGAAGCCATCAACCCAGTGATCTGCTGAGAGGCTGAGCTACCCCCTCCCGGACCCTTCACAGGTCAGCGTTCCAGTTAGAGCTAGAGGGGCAGAACAGAGAGACAGAGACTGACAGTCTCAACTCTCTGGTCAGAGCAGAGGGGAGAACTGAGCATTCAGCTGAGTATGATCGCTCATTTTTCTGTGCAGAGCTCAGATCAGATCAGTCAGTGCCAGATCGGATGTTGCATCCACCTAGGTGACTATAAATGTTTTTCTTTAAGTCCATACTTCTCTTTTAAGGCTGAACTAAATACACTAGTCAAATACTTATTTCAGAGCTATTTTATCCGCCAAAGGACTATCAATCCAGTTCTGAGATTTACACAGCTTTGTCACACAACAGAGTGCTGTCTGGCAGGGCAGGAGACCTGATTTTTTTTTTTTTCTGCTTCAGTGAAGTAAATACTTAAATTAAAAGTCTGGTCTAAACCAGGGGCGGACTGACAACTCATGGGGCCCCCGGGCAATAGGGGATCATGGGGCCCCTGTGTCCTTGCCCAAACTCAAAAAAGCCTATGAAAAAGGTACCAGGGGCATCTCATGGGGCCCCCTACTGACCCCGGGCCCTCGGGCAGTGCCCGAGTTTCCAAATGGTCAGTCCGCACCTGGTCTAAACCTATCCAAGATTAAATCTGCTCCCACTCTCAGTCCTATACAACTAACTACTCTGTAAAGGAAAGATGTGTGATCATATCCAGGTCACATGATCTCCCCAGCAGCCAGCTTCAGATGAGCGCAAGGAAAATGGCTGTAGAGCCTGGGCAGTGATGTGACTTGGGGGCATCCATTGTCTGCTGCCCTTCCTCATCCCTTAAGTTGGCACTTGAATGGACTGGAGCTCCCTTAGATTAGGTAAGTATCATTCCTTTACAGGCTAGTTAGTAGAGGGCTTAGAATGGGGGTAGGAGCAAGCTTAGATAGGTTTAGACTGGACTTCTACTTTATGCTGGTCATACACTGTTAGAATTTCTTCTGATTCAGAGTAATCATTCAAAAGTCTAACTGTGGTTTGACCAGCCAGATCTTCAAAATTTAATTACTCATTGGAATTTTGTCAAAGGAATAGGGCCAAAAATTGTTGGCCAAATAGCACCTGCAGCCAGTCAACCGCAGGCACGTTTTGGGTATTCTGATGCAGTACAACTGATCAGTTCTTTGTGCCCCCAGTCTGAGCTATGCTATACAGGGACTACAAAGGTTGATATCAAGTTAAATAGAGGTGCACTGCTTTTAACTAAAAAGTACAATTACTTAAAGGAAGCCTATATCAAAATAAATATGAGGGCTGCTATTTTTTAGTTCCTTCTGAAAATGCTAGCTGCTGAAATTCTTGTTTGCCTGCTTGTTAAAGGCTTATGACTTATGAGGAATTAAAGACTGTGGATTAGCCTGAAAACCAGGCAACAAGCATTTTCAGTGTAGAGGTGGAAAACCCAGTTACTCCTGGTCTTGTGGATGGACTCAATATCGTTAGGGCCACATATGGAAATTCTTGGGATATGCACGCCTTGCTGCCCTCAAAGGACCGGGGGAGTCCACAGTACTGAATAGAGAAAAACAAACAGAGGGTGCACCGGCCTTGTGCATTACCTTTAAAAATGTTTAATGAATGTATTGATCAATATTGTACTCACAACTGATCAATACAAGGCACATCATAAAGGAACAGCTCTGTCCAATTCACACTGCATGTCAGTCTGTAGTGAGATCTCTAGACATCCAAAAGAATGACGCGTTTCGAGTACTAGCCTCTTCCTCAGAGCCACTAACAAACGTTTTCAACATTTAAGGGTTTCCCTTATAATGTGTAGCAGGATTCCCTCCCAAGGCAGGCTTCTTGCTCCATGGGTGTGTGTATTCTTTCTATGCCATGATCCTTGTCTCTATAGGGTTGAGAAGCTATTTATGGCCATATATCCATGTCTGAGAAGAGAGATACACCATGTAGCAGAGATACAAGGGGAACTCTACCCTGTGTGGGAGTTGCTGGAAGGGCCAGGGTCTGAAGATGGTATATTATTGCCAGTCATTTAGCTCTGTAATGGACAATGAACTGTTTTGGTGCTGTCCAGTAAATTTATAAGAACTATTACTCATCGCTGATTGTGAATACAAAACAAAGAGAGTTGTATATCTCTCTAGGAGGCGGGACGCACAGCCAATACAAAAGGAATTCTTGTTAAAAGTATTAGGTGTTGAGTTTGCATTCAACCTAGGAGCTGTGGTGGCCTGCTGTAATAAGATTTACCCTCTCGGACGTAGTTTAAGGCAACTCATATTGTGTCAGGCTCCACGTGGCATGAGCCCCCATGTCACATGGGCCTTTTCATACAGATTATTTTCAAAGCCTTAGTTTGAACCACCCTTGCAGGAAAGTGTGCTCAAGGTGTGAAGAGGGGTCGGAGTGGAAGTAGATCAGAGGAAAGGAGTGAAGTGGCTATTTGCGCATTTGGTGCATACTAGGAGTTCTTTGAGCTTATGGCTGGGGCCTGACATAACAATCTAATCCCTGGGTGACTCGTATTTCTGTAGAACACTAGCTGGCAGTTCAGCCACCTGGAGAAGCTAGACAGTGCCTACAGAAAGGTCCACCCAAGGCAGCCTACTTATTTTCTCAATACTGGTTTCCTTAAAAGTGACAATAACTCAAAAATTTAATATGATCTTGGGATTCCCCTAAATGGGTTTTGTGGTGCCTGATCCATATAGAAATAATGGTGAGTGTCACCACAAAAACACATGAACCAAGAAGACCAATAAAATTAGAATATGACACCAACTTATGTTTACCGCAAGTTTATTGAAAAAATTAGAAACCTATCAAATATAATTCCACAAACTGTTTTCGGCCTCCAACCTCCCCTTCCTTCCCCCAGTAACACCACTTCCCTCTCCTCCCAGATCCCCCTCCCCCACAGTGGACTAAGCCAACCTGCCTCAACACCCCCCCAGCCGGTTTGCTGCCAAACACTGGAACCTGTTGGAGCAACAGCCCCAAACAAAAGCCAATGAAAGCACAACTGGCTTATTGTGGCTGTTGCTCCAACAGGTTCCAGTGTTTGGCAGGTACTGGACAGGGGTGTTGGAGTGGGTGGGTTTAGTCTGGGGTGGAAGTGTGTGTGTGTGTGTGTGTGGGGGGGGGTAATCTAGGAGGGAAGAGAAGTGGTGTTACTGGGGGCAGGGGGGAGTTTGGAGACAGACACCAGATTCTGGAATGATGTTACATATATTTCTATATTTTCAATAATCTTGCAGTAGCCATAAATTGGTGTCATATTCCAATTTTCTTGGTCTTGTTGGTTCCCTAAAAGTGAACCTGTGGTGAGGATATGAACATTCAAGGATTTACATATTCTTAACAAACAATAAAGAAGCTTTAAACAAGCCTTCACTGACCTCTGCACCTACAGGAATTGTGAAACAGTACATCCCTATTGTTCGATTCAGAAGCACCAAGGTCATTCAGGTCATTCTCTTAGCAGCTTAGTCAACACTTTCCCCCTCCAAGCAATGACTTGGAAGACCTCCATCCTTCTTATCTCTAATATAAATGCAGAGTTGGATCTCTCCTCCTCTGACTCTGATAAAATGCTTTAGAGTGCATAAAGACCCTCCTTGTAAAAAACTGTGGCAAGCAGACCTCTGTTTTTATTCTAAATGTGTAGAAAATATATGTTCTGTTCACTGGTTTGCAGAACTTTATGTTGAAGAACCAAAATGTTCATTTAATAGGATCTTAAGAGCTTTAATCTCAGGAATACTTAAGAAATATAAGCTGTAGGTTGGATTAACTTGTAAACTTCCACGTGAAACTGAACTACTATTTATTTTTCTGTTTCATTCTTGTGTTTTTATTTTTTAAAATATTTATTTTTTACAGTTTGCAAAATGAAGCCATGGACAGCGTGGACAGACTGCAGCAAGTATTGTGGGGGCGGCATTCAGGAAAGGTTCATGACCGTCAAGAAAAGGTTCAAAAGTTCTCAGTTCACAAGCTGCAAAGACAAGAAGGAGATACGAGCTTGCAACGTCCATCCATGTTAGCAAACGTCTCACATGGGATGAGCTCTGAGTTCCATGCAAAAGTCGACCTTTATTAGATTTTTTTATCATAGAATATATACAGTGCTTTTCATTTTGCAATGTACTTTGCTTACTATTCTTGCAGGTGCGAGAACTCTATTTTCTAAATATCCACATGTATTAATGAAATCATCCGGTTAGCAAAATGAATACATCTTACACCTTGGTGGTCCCAAAAGAGATGTTGACTCTGGACAAGCAATGAATCTTCCTAGCCGCATCATGGACTTTAATCTTCAACAGTGTGACATGCATGCAAAGTCAAACGTCACCAATAGGACAGCCTGTTACCGCCTTTATTGTTTTGAAAACACTCATTGATAGACTAAGCAAAAGGACGACAGACACTCGAAGGAGAATTCCCAGCTTTTTATCTATTTTTTTCAGACTTCTCTAATACTCTTCATTAGTCAAAGCATGTTTGGTTTAAAGTCCATTAAGATTTCAAATACTGTATGTCAGTGCCACATGTTGAACCTGCTGCTGATACTGTACATTTTATTCCTTTGTGCTGTTATTCATCAATAGGATCTGATAATACTTACATAGCTCTAGGAGTTATATTGTGAAAATGATGTTAGTCGGCTTTCAGATGGTTTCTGGAGAAGCTGTAGTGAAGTTCGTTCCATCTTTCTGCTTTTTTGAGCCTGCCAATGGGTAGGTTTTTTGGTTCCTTTTCTAAAACAGCAAAGTATAGATGTAAAACGGATTAGGACTTGAAGTGACTCTGTTACTAGAATAATATTTAAACAAAAGAGCCCTTTCAAAAGAAGATTTTCCTCTCTCCCGTCTTCTTATCTTTACTGTAGGGAAGTGATACCAATGGAAGATACCTCTAGGGGTGTCAGATACCTGGCCCCCTATGTTTAGTCTGTCATGCTCCTAGAGAGTTCTTTTTAGCCAGGTTGCCCCCAGAAGGTGATAAAGTACTCCAATCACTAATTCACAAATCCAGGAGGCAGCAATCATCCCTCAATCATCCAAGCCATCTTTTAAGGGTACTAATGATGTCTAAGTGCCCATCAGTGCCAGGCTAGTGCCTTTCAAAGGGCAATTATTTTTTTTTTTGACTCCCACTTGAAGCACTCATCTGCTGCTAAAGGGCATACAAAAAGACTCACATGGGGAGGCACATCAGCTGATAAGTTTGATGTCACAGGCTGGAATCTATGGTCAGACACTTCCAGGAGTGACATTGTTCTCTCATTTGATTCACCAGCCCCTATGTCACTATTGTGTTCACTAGTAATGTAAGGGTCAATGGAAGAAGCTACTGAGCACAGCAGGGGACCAGGAATCTGTTGGAAGGATTCGATTCTGAAAATGTTTCAGGCAATAGAGATTTTTCAGTACAATAATGTTCAAAAATGCAGAAATGTTTGTAGGGGTCACTTTTGTTTTAAAATGTAGTGACAGTTTCAGTTCAACTGAGAATGCTTTGTGCAGCAGTTGTTACTGTTGGCTTTTGTCAACAAGAAAATATTCAGAAAAAATGGATCAAAATAAGGTGTGGGCTATAGGACATGGACTGCTTTCACTCCATTCTTCCCTACTAACCATTCTTATATGGATGTCCTGAGGATAGGCAGGCTACAATAAAAGGGCTTATGACCGTGTTGGATAATATTATGTCATCTGAAGCAAGTTTGAGCCAAACAGAGCTACGGTCCATAGCAACCAAGATTGTTTTATTTCAAAGTTCCACCTTTACTGCAGTTGACATTGCTTACATTTCTATATACTTAAGCAACCAAGCTGACTTTGTACCTAGTGCAGTATTGTAGCATGATCAGGGTCAGTCAGATTGATTGTTATGGGCGAATACAGTTGTTCTTTCAGATTAAAAATGATAAAGTTTGAAATATTCTTTCTCAAGTCCTTACTATCCCAAATACTGGAGGGTGGACAGCATGGTGGCATTGTAATTAGCATTGCAGCCTTGCAGTATTGTGGTATCAAAGGGTCACAGTAATATCAATGTTACCTTCCGCCTTTTGTTAGGTTTTCTCTTGACGCTCAATGTTGCTTCAGCAATCTAGGACCTACAGGTTGATTATTTCGGCTTCTTCCGAAATCATTGTAGAAAATTAAATTGTATGGGTCGTAAGGACCAACGAGAATACTTAACTGTTCTCTATTAAATTCTATGGAATATGGTGCTGCAATACAAATAAGTAAAACAAATAAAAACTAAGGTCTGGAAGCTTAATCAAAGCTTTGGGCAGTGTCAGTATTAACAACTTCAGCCACATGAGTAAGGATTAAATATGAATTGTCAATTCACCACTTTTTAATAATCCTGAGTGTTTTCATGTCGATTTGACTGATCTACAAAGAATCACACAATTTAGTAAATTAGACCATCTTGGTTCACTAATTGTATGATTCTATGGGGATTGGCCATTTTGGCTTGCGTATTTTTCAACAGAATAAATTATGTGCAGATTTATAGATTTACCTTATAGTGAAACTGCCCATCTCTACACACAGTGTACAGTCTGATATGCAAGATATATATTTTGTTTCCAAATTGAATGTCCCGACTGGGAAAGGACTGTGAAAAAGGTTGTACAATGATCATCCGCTTTGGCAGATGTTTTTTATACAGCCATATTGCTTATTATTAATATTGACCTGCTAAAGCTGCAGTTTGCAACTCATGCATGGAAAATTACTGGTAGATTAGGCCTAAAGTTGTAATTATCCTAATTCATATCTGATGTGAGGCCAACTCAGTCTTCCAAAATAGACGGGGAACAAAGGAAAGATGGTTGTCTTCTATTCTTAAAGAGAGCAGTTTCATCTCAGTGGACATTCAGTTCCTACAATAATTGCAAAAGGTTCTAAATAGCCATGTAGTCAATCGTTGTCAGCCTTCTGAGGTCATACAACAAAAAAAAAAATCAAAAAAAACAAAAACATATTCCATAATTTTAGGTACAGAATATCCCTGATGTCCTTTTTTACTTTTAGTAACAAGAATTGCCATATTGTCATATATAATTTTCATTGGGAGATGTATTTATATCTTATATTATATTATATAATAATATATATATTTATATATATATAATGTCAGTGTTCCTTATATCTATATTATGATATAAGGTGCCCTTGTTCTATAGTGAATGCATCATGTTCATATGTATGATGAGATTGTCACAAAAAATACTCATGTGAGAAGCTTTAGGTGGTAGTCATCCCTTGAGCTGCATTCTTGTTCCAGATAGGGAAACTGAATGTATTCAGCATGAATGTAGGTGAAATCAGAACCTTGGAATAAGCATGTGGCTAAGGAGTGAGAAAATTACATCTTTCATTTGAGGTTTCTCTGTTTAGCTTTGTGACACATTTCTTTTAAAGTGAATCTGCCTATAATAAATAAATAAATTATGCATAACCTCTGGCCTAAGATGCACCAGAAGGTCTGTAGCTAGATTATCTCTTGTGGCTCAAACTTACCTATGCTGAACTTAGAGGTCTGAACATCACTCTGAGCTCTCTGGAGGACCCCATCTCTTGGCACCATCATACTGTGGGATGTGGTAAACTTTGTGGCTCTTTATATATTGACTACTGAAGTGGATGGAGGCTTCCTGAATTGTGAGGGCTTTCATTTTGTATGGCTGAATTGGAGAGGTCTGTGGTCATAGCATAGAAAGGCACCTTAGAAAATTCACCTGTAATGCTCCTACTTTTAGGCCTAATGTTGAAGGAGTTTTTGAATGTGTGAATGAATTATACACACATTCTGTTTTCAATGTTATTGCAGCAGTGGGACCTGATGCCTGGTTATAGCTTTTGTAGCATTTCATTCATTCAGTTCGACAGAACATCAATATTATAGACATCTAAGCCAACAATTTAAGTACCAAGCAAATCCATGGTAACATGTAAACATGGGGAGCACTGATAAAAGAAAAGTTGTTCCTATAGTCCATGCCCCCCCTTTTATAAATTTGCAAAATGTTGCAAAAATGTGGAATCCTTATCCAAATCCAAATGTTTTTTTCCTTAGTTTGGGGTATAGTAGGGAATGGAGATAACCTATGTAGATTTTTTTTCCTCCATCCCATTGAGAGATTTCTTTTCATTTCCTGTCCCAAAAACACAACAGGAAAGTGAGAGAAAATCTCTCCAAAGTGAGGGGAAATGCCTTCTTAGTCAACTCTCACTGGAACAAGTCTCCCCACTGGAAGATAACTCCCCTATTCCTGTTCTAGTGAAAACCAAAAAATGTTGGATGACGTTCTACCAGATTAAATAGAGAGGGTAAATCTTCCCAGTGGGATAAGTGACAATAAGTAAATGAGAGTCATTTTATTGTGATTAAACTCTATGATTAAGCCCTGGAGGGTGGGGCGAAATGCATCAGGTTGTGTGATTTGGTGGAGACATGTAGGCTGAGGCCACTCTTTATTGTTTATTCACCTGGACTGGTTGGGAGTACATTTATTGGCCTTTACATTTACTAGCCCTCTGGATTTGTATTAGGATAAGCCTTCAGCCTATGTTCTGGGACACTGGGTTATGCTTTCACCTCTGCTTTGAGTGGTGCCAAAAGCAATCTAAAAGGTCACTGGGATTCTAATACTTTGTTCTCATATATCCAGGTAATGGTGTATCAAGTAGTAGTTAGTCAAATTCAACTGAACTGAACAACTGAGCATTTCATTGGCTATCCAAGTCAATTCTTTATTCACCCTTACAGCTATGAAGAACTGTCCTGGCTTGGATAAGCTACGAAACGTCTTCAATACAGAACGAGTCAAGTTGAATGTGACTAACTACAACTAGGTGTTTTATCACTTCCTACTTTGTTCTAAACTAAAAAAAAATATCTTTAGATATACTTTGACTATGGAAACCCTCTACTTTATTATTCTGGATTGTTTCATGTTTAGGTTGTTATCTGGAATGGCTTTCTCCTCTCTCCACAGTAGACACCTCATTAGAATCTT